ACCTTCGGTCTCACATGTGAACGCTTCACCTCTAAACCACTGAGTTGGTTTTAATGTCTAACTCCAAACAATTCACGTTTTTGCGCCACCGTCCACCATTGTCTTCAGTGAGTAACTGCCTCACAACAGACACGGTTGAACTTCACTGGTCATGGCTTCTTACTATATTAATAGAATGGGGATTTGTGGCGATTGTAGTAATATTAATAGTTGAATTCCTGAGTCGATTTAAGCTAGACCACCATTGAAAACCTAGATCAATGCTGGTAAATTCAAAAATGTACCAGATATCACTTGAGAATAAGGTGTCACTAACTAAAGTTTATCAAAACGTTGTTTCTAATCTTGCACAAATATGCTATTTCAGTCAGTTAACAAAAAGTCTTAAAATTAATCTTTGCTTTCACTATTCAGAAATTTTATTTATTACTTTGAGCTACTAAACATTTGTAAGTAGTATGATTATTATCCAACATTCTATAGTGACGATGATACAGAACACTAACGTTGATGTTGAGCTCAGAACCAAGATATTTTCCAAATTGCTTCAATATACTTCTTAACAGTTATTCTTTGATTTCTGTTACAGATCAAGATGTTACTGGCCTTTTTTACAGACAAAAGAAGTGGTTAAGATAACTCCTTGCCCAAAATGTAGTCTCATGATTACTAAAATAACTAATCAGTAAACGATCTTAAATTATGAGACTTAAATGGTATACCATTTGATTTCTGTGATAACATTTGCATGCCTACAAGACCAATAATGAGTCATGCCTCGTCTTCTACTTGAATAACTAGATCTAACGGCGAGACTCTAATTTATGGACGAGCCAGTCACAAGCGCGTTAGAGATATCAAGGTTACAGCACCAACTTCAGTGCCTAAGGCTAACGTACGATCGGTCCACAGGGAATTTTGTACAAAACGTGATAATTGAGCGGCTATAACAAATGAAACAGCGAGACTATAATTTGTGGACGAATCAATTAGGTATAAGATAATAGATCTCGGATTTTAATGCGAAAACCTTTCATCCTTTTGGTTAAGTAAACTCCTGACATTATAGCTGATGTCAGTTCGTGATGAAAACCGCATATACAATTCCTAACTAAGGTAAATTATGATAATTACTGCGAACTGGATAATAAAAGCACCAGTAACACTGGCTGCAGCCAGGTGCTACAATATACACGGATGTTTGGAGAGCGTACAGACTCCTACATAGGGTTGGTTATGTGCATCGTATCGTTATCCACAAGTAGCGTTTTGTGCACTCAACAATCGGAGTACACATAAACAATATTGATGCTGTATGGTCGAGGCTGAAAGAGTTTTTTTGAGACTTTATCATGACTCCAGAGGTCGACTATTCTGTAGCCATATGGATGAATTCCTCTACTGCATGCATTACGATTTTAGAACCTCTGAACCTCTTTTTAACCTTGACAAGTTTTCGAACCATGTTAAAGACGTGTATCCACTTTATTTCTTTGGTTTTGTATAGCATAGTCTTATTCTATACTGACTGTTTGGTGATTGACTAATATTTCTCAAAGTCACTTGAGACTCGTTGAAAGATCGTCCATATATTAGAGGCTCGCCGATCTCACTTCCACTGTGTTGAAAATAATGAAATAGCAAACACATGCACACCTTCCCAATACTATACCTTCATTATGCTTTGTAATATTCCTTTAATAATATCTAATATCCAAATCTTTGTTTTAGTGTTGACTTTCTTTCAAAGTTTCAGATATAATGAACTAAATAATATTCAACTAACACATTCCCGCGCTCTTAAATAGCCATCTACTTAAAAATTTGCAATGCTTCTTAATTGGTACTTATGGAACATGGCTAATAAGTAAAGTATTATTGTTAACTTCCTCTATGTATATAAATAAACTATTTCATTCATTCTTCTTAAATACTAGTGGCAAAATATCACAGGGTACACTTACGAAAGACATCGGTTGAATAAACAATGTGACGATTCTATGCATTTATCATACGATATAACTAAGAATTATATATGTATGGCAGTGAAACATGGCCGGTAAGAGTAGAGGATATTCGTAGGTTACTAGTATTTGATCATAGGTGTCTTCGAATCATTACTCGTATATCCTGTGACCATCAAGTAAATAACACAGTTGTTAGGAAACGGGTACTAGGTAAGGATGGCAAATCAATTGATGAAGTAGTGAAACTTCATCAGTTGAGATGGCTGGGACACGTGTTACGTATGCCCAACGACCGACTGCCTCGATGTGCGATGTTTAATGGTTTAGAAGTAGGTTGGAAGGAAGCTAGGGGCGGCCAGACCAAAACATGGCACAAGTCCATGAAGTCACTGACAAGTGGACTGAGTCATGTTGGGTGTAGACTACCTGGTTGGGATCCTTAAGACGATGACAACCGATGGTTAGAGGCTTTGAATGACATGGCTCAAAATCGTTTGTAATGGCGCAGGTGCATCCACTCTTTGTGTTCTCCCAAATTCTAATCTTCTGAATTCTTCACGTCCTTTTGTTTTTCCTCTTTTCAAATTTATTTTACTGGATTATACTCTTTAAATAACATCTCCAAACCCTAATCTTCCCGATTACTGCTTATACTCTTATTACCTCTACCACTACGAGATTTGAATCGACAAGTGCATCTCTGTGCTAATGTGGTGTGGCAACTCGAACTGATGTACGTACGTACGAAGTTCTACGTTGTTACTGACTGACTGACTGACTGAAGAATTATATGGATTCATTTTATATTGTTTGTTTGAATCTTCCGATTGCTGTTTAAGACTGCAAGTGATCAGTCTGTTATTGGGGTATGTGCATTATGTGAGAAATGACTCGGTATTACCACAAGTCACAAGCATTATAAGCAAAGATAGACGATAGCTAGCAGCGGAATCCAGGACACGAGTTTCGTCCTACATATATAATACAAATCGGAGTGATGTACACATTAAGCTTCAAGATAACCATTAATGACTTTGTATCTGATATACCCTCAATTATCTTGCCTTTCCAGAACAACTAATTAAAATAGGCATACAAAAGAACTTCACAAGTTGCAAATCAACGACTGATTGCTGACCTCTTCATCGACTTATCAAATTATATATCACTCTGTCATTACATAACTCCTTCTGATGATGTATTCAAGAGAAGTTTTTATAAACTCTATGATCCCATCATCTAGTACTAACTCAAGTATTCCACTCTTTATATTCATCAAACGAAACTGACAATATACTAATAGTCAGTAAATTAACATCAATTCCTTATGAAACCATTTCACGTCGTTTATTTCTTTAAAGAACAAACTGTAAATGTCAACTATTCACTATCAATGATTAATAGTGTAAAATACTCATTTTGGAAGTGAAGTTTATTTTTATACCTCCCACCTTTTACCAATATATATGTGACTACTGATATTCAGTTTTTGATGAAATGATTAAACTCTAACAGCCATAGCAACATGATGTGGCCTACCCTAGATAATAATTTTTACTATGTAATATGCTTGATTAGTCAATGAGAAACTATGATTACGCAACCATATTTATTTATTTGTTTATTTGAACACAAATATTGGTACAAAGGGGCACCGAATACCTATACACCACACAAATCGCTTGATTTGTGTGTAGGCTGTGATACTGCCCGGATGCCCAGACCGAAGCAAGTGGTTTTCATAGGAGGTCACACCTGAAGTCTTCGACCTAAAGGTCTAATCCACAAGGCAGTTGAACAATGTAAAGAAATGCAGTCCTATGGTAGCCGATGACCAACAAGAGGTTCATACACCATTTTTCCCTCAGGTTTCTAGAGCCCATGTGTACTATTTGGTTTAAAATCAGGTTTTTCCAACTCCCCTAAATGGATCCTGAATATTCGCCAATCCGATTAAACTGCCCGATATTCACTTTTTATTATCTCAATTTCTTAAACATTAGACGTATCACGAGAAAGCAATGATTAGGATTTCCTTGTCAGTGATTGTATACATCTGATCATCTGAGAGCATTTGGAAAGGAAGAGCAGACTCTTCCCACTCTCAACCATACCAGGACATTTAGCGGCAACCATATCTAACTATGAACTATAACAATACTACAATAATAATTATAATATACCTGTTATATCCGAGCGAAGATTAAGTCACGAGTAACTTCTGAGACATATTAATTGACCAATATTATCTATACATTCTTATGGTATAACTATTCAATAATTAGATTATGTATATCTATATTCCCCTTATTATAAGCTTTATTTTGACCTATAGATTATTATTGTACGAGTTACGGTTTATAAGCTATGGTCAGTTTATTGACTACTGTCTCCCACGTTCACAGTCACTTTTTGGCTTTATTGTGTACAAATGTTATTTCCTATTTTATGGTGTGCTGAGGTCTGTTTGATTGATATATAAGCCCAGTATGTGTGAAATAAATGATTCGATTCGCGTCGCATAGTGGAAGCTGGTATTAGTGTTCTGGACTCAAGTGGACAGGTTAAACGGACATAGGACCGTTGAGGACGCTAAGCTGCTCATACCGGTCGGACTTCATTGGTTTGGCATAGTGCCAAGATTGTATAAGTTGTATTTTGACTGATGGATAAATCATGTGATAACTAGCCGAACACAAAAGTCATAACAGTACCATTTTTAATATGAGATGGGTTTTGTGGATATTATAGTAATTTCAACGGTTAAGATCATGAGTCAGTTGAAGCTAGATCACCATGGAGAACCTGGAAGCACTGGACGGCCGTTTTTAGTCTTCTGGTGGGACTCCTCAGCAGTGAGGATCCGCGACCTCGTCTCCTGCGTTATTCGAACCCAGGAACTACTGGTTTTATTCATGAATAAAACTGACAATGATAAGATGACTGTTTATTACAATTGAGTAGAATAATAACTACATTGATTTGTATAATAATGAAATTGATTGACTAAACAACAAATCATTTCCTTTTTCATCATTTCTTAATCATATGTCCATTAGATTCTGGTGGATATTTATTAATATCATATTGTGTTAAACGTTCAATGACATGATGAATTTCTTCTTTAGTTAATTTCTTCATTATTGGTCTAATTTGACTTTCTAATGAACAACCATAATCATAACGATTAAAACCAAGATATTTTCTAGCTAATGTTGATTCTATAGGAAGTTTAGATGGATTATCACTTGTTAAATGTTCAATGATTTCTTGTAATTTATGAGCATTACATTTCATATATGAAATAGGATTTGTAAAGGAGTTAGTACTTGGATGGTTTGGTAATTTTTCATTAGTTAATCTTTCAATTAAATTATCTATCTAATAAACAAAAGAATAGACTGGTAGATAGATATTATTAGAGATGAAAAATACCATCATATCAATCGGAGGGGGGGGTCTAACATTAATCGGTTCATGATCTCAATCAAAAATTTAATCATCTCCACAACCTTTTGCTAGGGTTGAAGCTAACATCAGTTCACTTAATCTGCGAACGAGAAAACAAGACTCAGTGACCAAAAACCAGTAAGGTAGCTCTATTTGATGCGTCTCAGCCTCGCTAACTAGAGGGAGAAGTTCAAGTTTGGAATGGGGAAGTATATTCTACAAACAGCCAGAAACGAGCGATCACAACAAATAGAATTCAAAACGTATATATTCAGTACTGCTTATACTCTTATTACCTCTACCACTACGGGATTTGAATCGACAACTGCATCTCTGTGCTAATGTGGTGTGGCAACTCGAACTGATGTACGTACGTACGAAGTTCTACGTTGTTACTGAATGACTGACTGACTGAGTACAAAACCGTCCTTGGGAAGAGTTACCAAATAACATACTAAAAGACGCAATGGACCAATAGCATTTAAAATATTTCCTAGTGGGAAATACGACATGAAGGTGACAAGAGCATCTTTGGCACGAAAACAAAGAAATTCAAATTTTCTAAATAAAATTACAAAATTAGGTCCTGTCCCAAGTGAGTTCTGGGGATCTAACGTCCCCAATACCCCCATACCGATAACATTGATTACTGTTTGTCTAATTTGTGAATAAACCAATCAGATTTAGAATATCAGGCATTGGAATTTGAAGCGAACTTCATTCACTTATTTGTCTAAATAAAGTTTTAACATTTTAGCTTATATCAGTTCGTGATTAAAAAAAACCATAACATGGTGGAGAAGATTTATAGCTCAGGTGGATGATTTTGATGGAGTTTTGTTCTCTAAACTGGATGGTTTAATCGTGAAGCTTTCATCGTTCTTTTGAACGACATCATCAGCACAAACTTCAGATAGAAGTGAAGTGTTCGAATTTCTCCACATGTGGTTCACAACTTGTCCTGTAGACCTCAATGTTGGCTGCTTGTTGTTGATCTTGCTTAAAGTTGATTATTCCATCGCAAATTAATAAGTTAATCATAGTTAAAGTATAGCATAGTGTAACTCTATGTCAGTCTAAGATACCATATTACAAAAAGAGTGAAATAAGCTGAAATTCGTAAATTCAGTAGTAAGTTTATTGAACTAATACTAATATCAATGATAATCAGAAAGATTAGACATTGTTAGAGCACTGTTCAAATTCAATGAAAATATTAACCGATTTCAAAGGAGAGTTTAGGTTGTTATATCTCGATGAGAATATTGAATGGTAACTGTAAGGATCCATTTATGGACTAATACTATACATATATTCGATACTACGGCGTGCCTCAGAAGATAGTCAATATCATACGGAATTCCTGTTATGGATTAAACTGTAAAATCGTTCATGGGCAACAGTTGACAAACTTGTTCGGAATAAAGATCGGTGTCAGGCAAGGTTGTTTACTCTCACACTTTCTCTTCCTCCTGGTGATCGACTGGAACATGAAGATATCAACATCTGGGGGCAACCACGGGATACAGTAGACACCTAGAATGCAGCTGGACGATCTAGAGTTCACAGATGATCTGGCCCGTCTATCCCAAACGCGACAACAAATACAGGAGAAAACGACCAGTGTATCAGCAGTCCCAGCAGCAGTAGGTCTCAACATACACAAAAAGAAAAACAAGATTCTCCGATACAACACAGCATGCACCAATCCAATCACAATTGACGGAGAAGATTTGGAAGATGTAGAAGCCTTCACATATCTCGGCAGCATCATTGATGAACACGGTGGATATGATGCAAATGTGAAGGCGAAGATCAGAAAAGCAAGAGCAGGATATTTACAATTGAATAACATCTGGAAATCAAAACAACTGTTAACCAACACCAAGGTCAGAATTTTCAATACAAATGTCAAGACAGTTCTACTGTATGGGGCAGAAACCTGGAGAACTACGAAAGCCATCATCCAGAAAATACAGGTGTTTATTAACAGTTGTCTACGCTAAATACTTCGGATCTATTGTTCAGACACTATCAGCAACAACCAACTGTGGGAAAGAACAAACCAGATTGTAGTGGAGGAAGAAATCAGGAAGAAGTGCTGGAAGTGGATAGGACACAGATTGAGGAAAGTACCCAAGTGAGTCACAAGACAAGCCCTCACATGGAATCCTCAAGGCCAAAGGAGGCGAAGAGGAAGACCAAAGAACACAATGCGCCGGGAAATGGAGAACAAGAATTGGATAGGACTAGAAAAGAAGGCCGAGGACAGAGTGTGTTGGAGAATGCTGGTCGGTGGCCTATGCTCCATTAGGAGTAACAGGCGTAAGTAAGTAAGTAAGTAAACGATCCTATCAAACAGCATTACAGAGTCTTAGGTTTATTTGTATAGAGAAAAGAAAACCTAATGTTAATTGAGAAGATTCTAAATAATAACTATAAAACAATCATCTACATTAACTAAATCTAAAATCTGATCAACAATAAGGTTCTAGTTCAAATTCTTTGATTAGATAACCCCCCTCCCTCGAGCTCAAAATTATGAACCACCCTAAAAAAATTCTCCTCCTCCCCCCGCAATTTTTTAATATTATTTCTGCATTACAGAAAAAGAAAATAATATTCCCAATGATCTTACCTCTGTTCTAGTTAAATGTTTAAATACTTTACTTGTATATTTTCTATGTGGATATTCATATCTTCCATAGCCTAAATAGATTTTTGCATTATTTGATTCAGGCGGTCCAATTGTTTTATCATATTTTGTTAAACGTTCAATAATTTCATTAATTTCTTTTTGGGATAATTTTGGCTTATTTGATAATGATGATGATGATGATGATGATGATGATTGAAGAGAATCATAGGATTTTTGTGATACTTTGATAGAGTTGTTCATTGTACTGGGTCGATGAGAAACATTTGATGAATATTCTTTCTAAATTATGAAAATGAATATGGATAATCTACTAATGTTTAATATGTGGAAATGTTGGAAATCGACCTATTGTGGAACTCCTGAGCCGTGCGCATCCACGACCCCGCCTCGCGGGACTCGAACCCGCGACCTATCGATTGAAATTACTACAATCTCCTGAATTCGAATCCCGCGAGGTGAGGTCGTGGATACTAGCTGCTGGGGGTCCCACGGCAGGGCCAGGGGTTCCGTCCAGTGGTTCCAGGTTTCCCACGGCCGTCTAGCCTCAATTGACTCGTGATCTCAACTGTTGGGACTATACTTTATGGTTAAATTCAATCCTTTAGTTTCGTAGTAAAGTACTTACCATATCATAGAGATAAAGTTATGATTACTTACTTACGCCTGTTACTACTCGTGGAGGAGCATAGGCCGAACACAAGCATTCTTCATCCAACACTGTCCTGAGCAATCTTTTCCAGTTGTTTCTAGTTGCTATACATCCTTTCTATGTCCGCTTCCATTTCCCGACGTTATATGTCGTTTGGCCTTCCACTTTTCCGCTTTCCTTCAGGACTTAAAGTTAGGGCTTGCCTCGTGGTGCAGTTTGAAGATTTCCCCAATGTATGTCCTATTCACTTCCAACATCTTTTCCTAATTTCCTCTTCAGCTGGGAGCTGGTTTTTTCTCTCGCACACAAGGCTGTTACTGATGATATCCGGTCAATGGATGTAGATTATCTTGCATGGACAACTATTTATAAATACTTGTACTGTTTTGATGATGGTTGTAGTAGTCCACGAAGTTCCAGCTCTGTATAGTAGAAATGTCTTGACGTTCTTATTGAAGACTGTGACTTTGATATTGATTGACAGACATTTGTTTTGAGTTCCATATGTTTTTCAATTGTAGGAATGTTGTCGTTTCCTTGCCAATCTTCGTCTTTACGTCTGCATCCAAACCTCCTTGTTCATCGACTATGCTTCCCAGGTACGTGTAGCTTCCCTATTGAACAAATTCTAAAAACCACTGTATGCGGACTTTATGAATATAATGACGATTTCGCTTTTACTAAAAACCATAAATACCTGAGAGTTTTATACCATACTTAACACTGTTTGGGTTTGGAAAAGCATTCCTTCTCACTCGTCTTCTCTCTTCTTTCTTGTGACGTGGAGTGTTCTAGTGTTCGAGTTCGCAAGTTGTACGCGGTATATCGAGTATCTGAGTTCTAGATATAACAGGCAGTTTATGAGACACTGGTAACAGTGAAATAGATCACATAAATACACATAATAAGTAGAAGCTACAAATTGATTATGCGATGACAAAGGAATGAAAAGCTTGACAAAGGAATAATTTTTTATGGGAATGATAGAGGCTCGAATCCATGTTTCATAATGGGGATTAGGTTGGTGGTTTGGAAAAATATAAATGCTGAAATAACCTTCATAAAACTATAAGATTGTGTAATAAGAAGCGTTCAGATAATTGGACAATGAAGTACATATTTGGGAAAAATAGATGGGAGGGGGTAAAGAAAACAGAGTATGGAAGATAATAATTAAAAAAATCATTTATTAAGGTCAAAGAAGAGATAAATTTGTTGAAAATCTCTTATGAATACGAAGACTTGGATTGTTGGCTTGAATTCCTATAGCTTCTGCAATGTGTAAGACACGAGATTGAACCGCATGTGGTAAACTAGTAGAAATACAATAAGTTACTTTAAATGAACTATTTCTGTCTAATACATGACCGCTATCGATCAGGCGTGATAGGACAGATCTGCGTATTGTCTTGACGGTACCTTTTCCCAACCATGAAGGAAGGTGTTCACTAACTTCTTAGCTCAGCTGTCCGGCAGTGCGCTCAATATAGTTTTCCCCACAGGAGCGACTGAATTCGTAAATATTCATAGATGTAGGAGTACTATTATTATTATTATTATTATTATTATTATTATTATTATTATTATTATTATTATTATTATTATTATTATTATTATTATTATTATTATTATTATTAGCTTTATTCAATATTATATTATTGGTACAATATAGAATTCTCAGCACAAAGTATTTCAACAAGTTTCCGTTTCTTTCTTCTTGGTCGGTCCTCGCGATAAATACTGAGTGATCGCCAACTAGATGTTAACAGTCCAGTAAATGAATATCTGAATAATGTACATTCTTTTCGTTGTATATTGCCAGCAACAATATTCTCTCTTTTTGAGCTTTTTGTAACTTTGACAACGAAAGGTTGTACACTTTTCAGAAACGCAGCAGAATAGGTTGTGCGATTAATAGACATAATGATATATTAAAACAAACAAAGATAGATAACTTGTCGAAATATCTAGATGGCAGGAACAGGTAGCCCAGATGCTCAAGCAGGCCGCCAGCTACCAGGCAACTTATCCTTTAGTTGAAAAATCTCCATAGATCAGGCCGAGAAAGCTAGAAAGAGGTTAGCTCCATTAGACCTCCTCTTCGCTGCTCTAGTCAGTCTGTCCTGTAGCATATACAAGCTATATCTCCATTGAATTGCAGCTTCAGGAAGAGGTTTCTTACTAGTCATTGATGTAACTACTTTCCTGTTTGTTATATGCAAGTGTCTCTTCAGGTTATTGTTCGTAAAATCTTGAATAATTGGCTGCCTGCAACGGAATTGATTGGTATCATAGTTGATTTCAATTATGTATCATGTCACAAAAATTGACTGAATGAATTAACTGTTTTTCACTTAGTTCTTCGTGTCTCCTGGGTTTTTTTATTAACAAAATATTTTACTTACTAAAAATAAGTAGTTTGAGTTATATTTACCAATTTCCTCAGTGATGCAGATAGGCGCTATTTACCTTTTGTAGTTTTGAGCTACCATTTTACTTACTACATTTTATTCCACGAATTTAATCGTTCTCTCTGTAAAATAATCTCTAATATTTCATCATTCTCGGAAAAAATAATGCTAACATAACTTCGGTATATTTACACATAATCTTGTTGATTTCATACGGAAGAGCTGAAGTTATAAAACAATCGGTATAATGTATGTTTGTGACAGCCTCCCTCTTGACTATTTGAGCATGTAGGGATAAATATCTGTATCTATATCCATATATATATATTTACATGTCAGTCAATCGGTTAGAAACTCACAACGAAGAATCTGTACGTATCTACATCGGTTCAATTTTCCATACCCGATTAGCAGATGTAAATATACATGAAGGAGTTTTGAACATGGATGAAGCCCTTAATGAGACAGAGCACCTTCTCTTAAAAATGAACACTGTGAATAGGACAAACCTGAAATATCTATTTAAAAGAAAAGAGTTTCATGAAATATTAACAATGAGCAATTATGAAAAATATTTCTTCTGGTAACTGAGAAAGAAATAATATTACCTTCATTTTACATTTACATTTTTCTGGTTAGCGTTTTTTTAGCGAGTTAGTTTTCTACGGGATGGGGACGCTAACCCCATGCCCAACCCTCATCCTTTATCCGGGCTTGGGACAGGCAGTAGTTCCCAAAGGGACTCCAGACGGAGTACCAACAGACTGGAAAGAAGGACTCCTGATCAAAATACCGAAGAAAGGAGTAACAGGCGTAAGTAACACTTACATTCGTTTATATTATGTGTTTAAGACATTCTCAGCTAATGTTCGATATTTAACCAATACTATGAAGAACCTTCATCCAAGTAAACAAATAACATGTTCACTGAAATGAAGGTTAGTGGAAGTATCCGCAATTCCACAAAAAAATGTTTTTTATTTGAGTCAGCTAATACAATTTAATTATCAATCATAATTATATGGAACATTAACAACAACAAAAAAAACTATGCGAACAGTGACAGTAAGCACAAAAAATCAATTAAATTAACACTAGTTACATCATACTGATATGTGTTGTGTTGATTGTGACCACCAAATTGACACCATACAAATTTGATAATTATTGGAGTAATCATTTTAATTCAAAGATGATTTTCATCGTGATTTTCACATTACTTAAGGTACTACAAAACCTAACAACCAAAATGTAAAGATAGGTTCAGGTCGCTCATAAGGGACCGTGGGTGCACATCGTCAAGGAGTTTGATACTAGGATCAAACTGACATCCAGTGCATCCAGATCTTCAACGATGGTCTAACATTGATCGGTTCATGATCTCACCTAAAACTCAACAATCTCCACAAATCCTATACTAATCAAGATATAATATTTGTTTCGTTAGTGAATTACTACGAGATGATTTCCTTCACTTCAAATGATAAGTTGTAATTGATGGACTTATCCCATGTGCCGAGTGAAAAAACCGTCTTTCATGGTATTTGATGTTTGTCAATTCATATCATGAGTTAATTAAAGTTGAAATATTGATCATAAGGTTCTAATTTAGCGATCTAAAGATTAACCGCAACTCCCAGTTATCCAAGGTCTATTATTTCTTAGGATTATAGCTATTAACAGATTACAAGTTTCATACTAGTAAGAAACACCTTTAATTGTGACATTTGGCATTAAATCAATTATCTATATAGTATCAACTGAAGATGAATATCAGTCAGTCAGTCAGCTACAACGTAGGACCAGGCACATATATGTATCGGTCCAAGTTGCCATACCTCATTAACACAACAAGATGAACACCGGATACATAGGAGTAGTTAATTCAGTGGTGGTAATATATAAAAGAAAGATTGCATATAGAGATATAGTACAGGAAGAAAGAATTAGTTCATAGAAAGAAAGATATAAAGCAATTTTAATCTCTTAGTTTAAGAGAAGACAGAGAGTGTATACACCGACGCCACTGTGATCGATTCTGAGCCATGTCACCAAGAGTCTCCAACCATTGGTTACGATAGTCACGCGGACCCCAACCAAGTAGTCTGCATCTACCAACATGGCTCAGACTGCAAGTTAGTGACTTCAAGCACTGATGCCACGTTTTGGTTTGGCCGCTTAATTATAATCTTGAATTGATACAAATAGTTAAACTCATT